TCTCCACGCAGAGGACACCAGTCTCGCCGTTGCACTGCGCGGAGCTGCGCGTGTTTCTGCCTTGACCCCCGGGTCCAGCCAACCAATCAAGATCCCGATACTATTTCTGACTTCCAGTCCTCTGGCCGGTGTGGCGCCCACCGCCTCGCCATCCAGCTCCTTTTTCGCGGCTTCCTGCACCGGAGGCGCGACCACTTCAACGATCGGTTCAACCGGTTCTGCCATTTTGTCAGATTTGTCGACCGGTTGAAAGACGTTGGACGGGACGTAGTCGTCCCCCGCGAAGCGCGTCGCATACGATAAAAGTCCTTCCAGGTCTCCGATGGTAGGCTCTTGGTCGATGTCGTCTATTCGTTTAAGTTCTTCTTCCATAATCTCGTACTCGACGTTGCTTATTATTTTTCCCAAGATTTGCATGATAGTTGTTTCCATTTCCTTTTCTTCGATATGCGATGCAGCCATTTTTTCGTTCAGGTTTTTTTTTTGTCCGCGTAAGGTTAGGTCAGATTATATACTCAGATGAGCTCAGAGTTGCAAATGTGCCGATTTCGGTATTTATTCCTGGGCCGTCGACGATGATGTTAAACAAACATCGTTTATTAGTAGCCAGCATATTATTATATTAATCGACGGCCGGCATCAGCTGGATTTCGGGCCCGTTAATTTTTCCAAATGCCATTATTACGACTATTATTGGTATACCGACTCTAACTGTATATACTTACGCAGAGGTACACTATAATAATTGTATTATAATATTATAACGAGGATTTATATGTCGATCTGCATTATATTACTATACTGTCGTATATATAATATATATACTCGCTTTATACTTTTGTAGGTACCTATAAGATTTTTAGATTCAGAACGGAACGCGACCAATGCGTATTGCGATTTTACAATTATTGTTTTTTGTGTATGTGTTGGGGTGTACCTATATTGCGTTTTATACAGTGCCGTAAAAACCGGGTGTGCAGAGTGTGTACCACACACAGGCCTCGGGCCCCATAATATATCGAAGGGCCTCAGAAGATCTAAAGACTAATATTAAACTAATATAAAATTATTAAAATATATAAATTATTTATTATTTATTTTTTAACCTAGTAAATTACTAGGTTTATATGATGGCGTTAAAACGGTTTATACTCAAACCGTTTTGAAAGTTAAAACGCTAGCGCTATGTAGTTTAAGAATTTAAAACCGTTTTATATGTTTTGTTATGCTGTATTTAATGATTTTTGATTATCGCATTCCGTTATAATTACGTTTACAAACATGTATCGTTTTTTGTAAAAAATAAAACGTTATAATCAATAATCATAATGTTATTATAACGTTTGCAAGCTCTGCCATATCCATAAAATATTGCAATTTTTCAACCACTTCAAGATTTAAATTCCCAACTTACCTATTTAAATCACAATAAATTATATTTTCAATTAGGCTGAATTGTATTGTTAATTTATTTATTGTACAACCTAATTTTTTTATGGTCTATAGAACTGGCCCTTCTGAATACAAAAAAATCGGCAGAATTGTCGACCGGTTTTTTTGTCTGCTGACTTTAAAAATTGCAAAAAAAGTTTTTGAGTTGTGTATTGAAAAAGATAATAAGGGGCCTCAATATTTTGGTTTGCACACAGGCCTCAAGTAGCCTAGTTACGGCACTGCATAGGTAAGCCATAAAGTCGCCTTGCCAAATTTAAAAAAGGATGTGGTGCCTACCTGCAGATACCTATGTATATTTTTTAGAAATTAATATGTGAAGATAATGAATAGGTAGGTAAAGTTGTCAATTAAGAGTTTAAAAAAATTAGTTGTGGTGGCTTTCTAAATACCGGGGAAAATAACTTACTTTTCCAGCTACACATTAAGCACCACACATAATGGAACGCATGGAAGCAATTATGGTTAATATTCTGGGGGGAGGTTGATTACAGCCCACCTAACAAAACTATTAATTTAAATTACACCTATGGGAGCCTTATATCTATTTTTGGAGGAGCTAAATATTAGTCAGAGGGGTTAAGCCCCCCCCCTTAGTGGTGTCACCGGTGAGAGGTATTATACATTATGTTACTTTAGTGTCCTATCTTCTGATAAACTGCAGTTGAAATTTGAATAAGTATAGTAATATAGTATATTTGTATAGTATATTAGTATGTAAGTAATAGGTATAGTAGGTAATGAATACAATTTTTAAGTGCGGCACTAAAAGTAAACTATTCAACATATTTGGCCCAGTTAATAAACTTTGAGTTTGACATGCCTGATGTAGATGTTTGTTGTCTATGTCTCTGCGACACATCTCACTGCAAAACTTCGATTCTATATCACGCGCTTGCGATGCGATTTCTACGATTTATATGCTGTCCAATTCGACTCACTTATTTCGGCTGTCCTCAATACTGCGATGTATTTTGGAAAGTTGAGACTTTCTCTTAGGTACAGTGATGAATTTTTCTTTTTCTATTTTTAACGTTACAATCGAGCAATCACTGAAAAATATTGGAGCATCACTTATGTTTTGTATACCTATATATATATTTTTTTTTTAAATACATATTTACATTTATTTATTTTATCAATAGCCGTTTGCAAGAGCTTTGAATGCATGTCATTTAAAATTATATACCTACACTTAAATTACTTGCTACTCAGGGATAGTGCGTTGTTTACAAATAAAATAATTTTTAGATTAAGTAATTACAAAGATCACATCTTACATTCAAATAGGTACATTTTATCTCTTTATAACATTACAAAATCCCAAAGCTGGGTACTAACTAGTTGGAAAGTTAAAGTTAAGTTAGTTTTAATTCATATTAACTATGTAACTTAACTAATTGAATTTAATGTGTAAAATAGTCTAATCAAAGCCGTTAGAAAAAAAGCTAAGTAGTTATTATTTTTTTTCATTCTAAAATTCCAAAAGCTGTTCCTCAATCATGACATTATGGCTAGATATATGCCTATATATTCCTATATAGATTATATTGGCTCATATATATTATTAATTATTAGTATTTATAATAAATAACAATGCACGCATAGGAACCATAGCTCATGAGTAAATAAATAAATAAATATATAAATTTAGTCATGCCACAACTTTTCCCCATAGTCTATAGAATGTTGATATCTACTAGATATAAATAGTATCTAAAAATGTATAATAATGTATAATACATTAATAAATGCATGAATCCAATCAATAAGGTTTAAAATAAATAATAACAATATTAAATATTACTCTTGCCTATATTATGATCAAAGGCTATTATATAAATTTATTTTTATTAATTATATATAATTATTATTTTTTTAAATATTTATATATATAATATTATATTTATATATATAAATGTATATGAATCAAAAATATATGATTAGCACACATAATGTAATATTATGAGTTTGATATAATTCCACAAATCACAAATAAAAAAAGAAAAAAGAATAAAATTAAAATTGATCTTACATAATAAAACATTCAATAACTAATGATTTCATATAATATATAATATAATTTTGTTTACAATTAATTCTTAAAAATATTGTGGGAAGTTTAGTATAATGTATATATATATATATATAAATATATGTTTTTTCAATTTTTTTTTTTTTCAACACTTTAAATTCAATTACACTGCATGATAGGATTATAATTTATTTTTGAAGAAATATAATATACTTTATTCTTAATACCCTCTATAATTCATAATTTTATAAATTTTGTAATTAGTTAAGTACTAAGGTGAGCACAGGTGAGTGAGCGATCGGATGTTGCTTATATTCTAAATACAATTTATTTAAAAGAAGATACAAAATCAAATTGTTGAAAGCGTAATTAAATCAAAAAATATTAGTAATAAATATTGAGAACAGAAATCATACTTTACTTCATACAACTAATACAATCATGGCCCTAGATTTGATTAATAAAATCATGTAATCTAAATTCATTAATATTTGCATCCTAACAATAAGCACAAAAATACAAATGTTGTAATACCAAATCATGAAATATAACATATTTGTTCATAATATCTTTTGTCTAAAATATTTAATTCCAGCATATTCATTTAAAGTTGCACACAATACCTATTTAAGTTTATAATAAATTGACAAAACTTCAAAAGCAAAAAAAAATTATATATATTTATATATATATACTAAAATAATATAATATTTATTTATTTTAATATAATGCACTAGTAATAAAAAAATCATTTGAATAGATTAAGAGCGAATGTTTTTTTTTTGACAAAATTAACTACGGTGATGGCAGCACGGAAAATATATTACACAATTTGCTACGTTTGTGTTGCCATCAGTCGAGTAAATAGCCTAGAGATCTCAAATATTGTTTATTTAAGTAGTCCTGAATAAGGGAGGAATGAAAGGCAAAATAAAACTTTTCTTTGCAAATTAAATTACCTAAGTAAGTCTTTGTTTTTTTTTTTTTAAATTTAATTTAAGCCTTAAACATAAGCTATGTCTATGATGTTAATAATACTTGAACGTGTTGAGTACATAAAAAAACAGTCTTATTATAATATTCAGCTTATGCTTATACAGTGTATCGGACTTAATACGCGCACAGTTAAATGAAAAACAAGAAATGAAAATCAACATAATAGTAATAATAATAAGAAATAAAAGAAAAAAAGTAAGAAAAAGTAAAATGTGAGTAAACGCAATATTAATGATAATATAAATATAATTCACAAAAAATTAGCTAGGTGAACAAAAAAAAAAAATTAAAAAATTAAAAAATTAACTAACACATTTGAAAAATTTGTTATTTCATAGGTTTAAGTCAACGCAGTACGAGTATAGAAAATCAATGGAGTTTACATTTTGTTTTAACTGAGTATAATTGTTTAAAAATAGTAAAATAAGAAAAATAAAAATCTAAAATCGCTATTTGTTATCGTTGTTTAGGGCGAGACGCGGCCCTCGGAGAATACAACTACTTCAGAACACCAATGTCATGTAGTGGGTAGCATATTTGTTATCATTGTCCATAGTTCTTTTTTACATGATTTGGATCTGAATAATAAATAAATAATTAATAGTAAAATGAGAAATATTGTTTGAATACTAAATCAATTTAAATAATGCTCACCTTCTAACAGACTGCAACCAGTCCTTGAACATGGTACCGCCTTCTGGTGTCATAGCAAATGCACCATAAGCAGAATAGAGTATTCCGACATACTCTTCGTAGTCTGCTGCTGACAATTGATATAACTTTTGATGTAACAGTTGAATATACCTGTGTATAAATAATCAATAGTTATTAACCGATCAGTTCAAAACCACATAATTATGCACGATACATAATAATGTAATAATAACACATACATTGAATGACACTTTTCAACCAAGGGACTCAAGGTGGAGCATATGGCAGGAGTGGGACTAAAATGTCCCATGTACATAACAGCCTCCATTGCAACATCGTGTAGTGTGAAAGGATTCACTACACTGTTAGTGACAGCCAAACAAAACTGTTGAGTGTAATTAGGTCCTAAGGAAGTAATGAAATATTATAAAAATGTTATTTAACAAATATTGAAATATATATTGTATATGTTACGGTGAAAGACGAAAATTGGTAAATGTCGTCATTCCCCGGTCAATGACGTCATTAACCAAAATGATTCGATTATGTAGGTAAATGTTGTAAAAACACATATTTTAAACTCAAATGTACATCTTTCACCGGTCATTGACGTCATTTACCAAAACTTGTGGTAAATGATGATAAATATCAAATAATACACTGATTGTTTTAATATAGATACTATTTAATAATGATTTATTGTTGGTGGGTGATTCATTTTTGAATCTCATCATTTTTGATTTCAATGAAATTAATGAAAGGTTAGGTTAATTGAAATGAATAAAATAGGTGAATATTATTATAAATTATTTATTTGTATACTTGTGTAACTATTCGTTAGTTTGTCGCGTATCTAATACCTATACACTTATCACTGACCGTTCACACCGACACAAATGGGATGATACCGTATCGGCTCCGGGTAGTTACTCCTCACCATCAGTTAAGTGGTCGTATTGCGTCCCATTATGATAACAAATTGTTATATCTAGTTAATGACATATAATGTCAGTTATATAAAATTATAAATGTATTGATCAATTTAAACAAGGAAAAATTCCCAGAGCGGAGTGCGTAAAAAAGTTTCAATTAAGTTCAAATCACAATTTTTAACCTTAATTTTTTTCAAGTCAACACTATTTTATAAGTTAAAACTATTTTTTAAAAGTTAACACAATTTATTCAAGTCAAAACTATTTATTAAAAGTCAACACCATTTTTTTTAAATTCTATACAATTCTACCTATAAATATATTGAACATCATTCTCCAATTAAACTGGGGATTGACGTCAATAACCGGGGAATGTCTACATTTACAACTTTTACCAATTTTTAGGCAAATTACGTCATTTACCAGGGAATGACGACATTTACCGGGGTATGACGACATTTACCACGTTTACATCATTCACCATAACATATATATACACAAGTCGACCACCAAGCTCTTTTTTGTATGTATTACCTATGTTTTTAATAAATTTAAAACACATACCTAGTTTCTTCGACAGACGCAACAACCATTGTATATCTTCTCTGAATGGTGGGTTCCTAGAGTACTTTGCCTGATTAGGTTCGTGGGCCCGTCTAGCCAATGTGTCTAAAGCCAAAAGGCCAACACGGTACGCAGACGTCAAATGATGAATTTGTCTGAAATTTGGTGGTGGAAGGTTTGACATAATGTTTGCCTAAATGAATAAATTGAATTATAGCACATTTAACCATTATATTGTACTTTTGTTCTAAATTTAACAAAAAGTATACTTCTGTTTGTTGCTGTGGAGTTCTGATTTGATTGGTAGGCTGAACAAAATATTGTGACGGTCCTTGCTGTGGTTGCCTTTGAGGATTTGCGTTTTGATACTGCACAGGAGTCTTAAATAGAAAAATAGTTTACTATTGAATTTATGCAGAAGTCTAACTATCAATAGTCTTTTGTATTTTAACATACATTTATTTATTTGTGAAATTCACATATAATTATATAAATAATATAATATTGTTTTATTACTTGATGTATATATGGTGAATAGTACGGTTGTGCATATTGGTTTGACGTAGACACAGATGGACATGGATAATACATTAATTTGGGCTGTTGGGTATTGAGTGGTGGTGAATTTTGAGGAATTGATTGGTTAGGAAAGTATGATAGTTGGTACAGATGAGCTGGAGATGTCTGTGGTGGCACCATCAACTGATGTGCATACAGAGGAGGTGGTGGTTGTTGGGATGTGTCAACTGACATTGAATAGTTGGCTTGATAAACATAAGGGCATTTGAATTCATCTCTGGGATCTACTTGTAGCATGTAATTGTCCTCGTCTGGATTGGAATTCTGCATAAATAAAAGGAACACAGGTTAAAATACTTTTATTCAAGTAAACTAAGGACACATACCCTCATATATAAGTCGAACCAGTGTTTTGCTACACTAAATAAAACTTCAGGAAAAACTCCTCCACCTTTGGCTGCCATTTCTACAGTCAGACAAGCAATTTCCATCATGTGATCAGACTGTTCTTTACACTAAACATTACAAAACCCACATAAATTTATTAAAATCTGAAACTCTTAGTAATGATAAAATTATGTGTTACCTGTATTATAGCTCTAGTTATTTCGTTTGGATTGAGAGCCACTGAATGTTTTAAACATGACAATGCCAATTGTGCTGCTGCCTCAACAGTATTACGTTCATGGCTCCTAGACATTCTATCGGCTATATTTGCTATTTCGGTTGGTGTCAAATGACCATCCCATGTACCTAGTAAGAACAGTGTCGCTGGTGCACCTACTTCCATTGCATGATCAGCAATCCATGTAACTTGAGACGAATAATTGCGACTTCGCCAGTTGGGCGTAACACGGTTGAGAAGACCCAAAGAATACAAGGCTAATTGGAACGCACACATGTGTAGAGCACGATGTGGTTGAGTAGGTAATGGTGGTTGTGAAAATACTGTAGTTTGTATTGGTCCACCTACTTTGCTTAATATAGTTTTACCCAATTCAAATAAGTAGTGAGCATTTGCTTCAGAAGCTTGGTTTGGTTGACTGGGATATAAACGTTTGCTACTTTTATACCTAAAAATAGATATTAAAATTGAATATTGGAACACGTCATAACAATAGTATTAATCCATCATACAATTTAAAATTAATAATATAATACCTGTTATTATCTTTCCTATGAGAGGATAATCCTACATTACAACTACTAGACGTTTGAGGTGGTATGGGATTTAACGTCATAACAGCTATGTTTGTGTCTAACTCTCCAGGTACACTAGTGGTTGGATTGTGAGTTTGTAGTGCTACAAATTCAAACAAACAACAATTTTAATGGATGAACGTTATACTGATGATTGCAATAAATATATACTTACGTTGATTATGAATATTGCTGTTGGCGACATTCTTCATAGCTATTAATGGTAAATTTCTAGGATCCCTTATTTGGTACCAACAAGAGTCCATTGCTGATTGTAAAAATGGATGAACTTCTCTATCTAATAATTTGTCCATAGCCAAAGCCAAACGAGTAGGATTGTTCTTATAACGGATTAATATGTTTGTTGCCAAATCACCTCTAAAATTATTAATTTAATTTAGTCAAAACAATATATAATATGAATAATTAAAAATACTTGCATATACCTTTGTCTACGAATTCCTTCACATAGCAATGGATGTTCTGCTTCACTTATGTTGGCTTTCATACCTAAAGCGGCTACAGACGCTTCAAAACCTAAAGTTTCATCAGTGATTTTATCTTGCGTAAGTGACGGACACATCGCCAAACACTCAAAAATTAATGAAGCCAAATTCAATGGCAATAACGATTCACCGCGTGTTTTGTATTGACCTTCACGTAAAAGTTTTGCCCTATTTTGGAGAATGCTCACTTGCTCTTTACCTAATGGCAACATACGTTTTAAATGATTTAATATTTCCCCTTCTTGATGAGCCATTTTTACCTAAAAAAATTATTTTTATTGTTAATTTTACATAATATATTGTGTGGTATATGTACATACAATTAATTATTTAATATTAATATAAATTTTAGTTCAATAAATAGTTTAATGAGTAAGGCTCAGATTTATATGCACTAAAAATTATGAACAAATATGAATAATTGTAAATACCAAAAACAAATATATAATTTGTTACAGCAACGTTTATTTAATAATTGTGACTATCTAAAAGTATTTTAATCACACTTTCATAAAACATTGAGCTTAACTCTATTCCATTTAATTTTACAAACTTTCCGACAAAAAACAGTCAGTCGCACATCCCTCCTCATAAATTATAAATATTAGCCACATTCCCACGACTTGTGTACTTAGCTAAAGTCAGTTGCCCATAACTAGTGTACTTGTCGAGTACACCAATAATCAAATGGACAAGTAATTAGTGTATAGTGTTCCAACTAGAGGCATAATTAAAGATGCGATGAGGAGCTAATACATTCTACCAAAACTTTTTTTTACGTTAGACATTTTTATCAAAGAATAGGTAATGACTAATGACAATTCAAACTTACAATATTCTCAAATTTAAAAAAAGTTATGATTTTTATTACTATACAAATAAAATATTGTTTTTTTACAACAGAACAATATAGGATTACCAATAACAATGATTGGAGTACCGAAATCATAAGTCGTATACGCAAGGCAGAGAGGGCCTATTTTGCGTTACATAAATTTTTCAAATCAAAATTATTTTCCAGAAGGACTAAGATCAGATTGTACATGACCATAATAAGACCAATGGTTACCTATGGTTGTGAAATATGGCCCACTACCATACAGTTAGAAAAAAGGCTGCTAGTTTTTGAAAATAAAATATTGAGGAAGATTTGTGGTCCAGTGTTTGATAGTGAGCTAAATAATTGGCGTAGAAGAAAAAATACTGAACTAAGAGATATCACTGAAGTTCCACTATTAACAAGCCACATTAAGTGTCAAAGACTCAAATGGTTTGGTCATACCATGCGGAAAACAGAAACCACTAATACGAGAGCAGTGATGGAGTGGCAACCGACAGGGAAAAGACCAAGAGGGAGGCCTAGAAAGCGATGGATGGATGGAATAAGGAAGGACTTAGAAACATTGGAAGTGATAAATTGGGAAGATGGAGTTCAGGATCGTGATTATTGGAGAACGGTGACGGTGGCGGCCAAAATTCTTAAAGAATTGTAAAGCCAAGAGAAGAAGAAGAACAATATAGGCTGTAACTGGTCGGTATATATTATTATTACATAATATTATGTACATTATGTATGGTAACTCGGGACCATAAAGGAGACTTAAATCTCGGAGAAGTATGATTGCCAATTCAACAACAATTCAAGAACAACACGAAATACGAAAATAGAGAGAAGAGCTACTACAATCTGAAAAACCTGTCCCGCCTGCTGAGCATTTAATATGTGGAAGAAACCAACCATGGATTATATGGAAGACATTAAATAGGTTAAGAACTGGAGTAGCTAAAACAAAAGTGAACATGATGAAATGGGGATACCAGAAACAACCGGATGTACTATGCGAATGTGCCAAAAACCAATCAAATTTCCTCTTATTACAGTGCGCCCTAGCTCTGCCAGGATGCACGACCGACGACTTGCCTTTAGCCAACGAAAAAGCAGTATCAATTGCCACTCACTAGCTAAAACAAAATATCTAAACATTTATTTTATATTTTATATTTTAACCAACTTATTTTTAGATTACTTTATGTATTTATTAATGTAATAAAATTTAGTCCCCGCACCGGAAACGATAAGAAAAGGAATGTACATTATTTGTACAGTAGTCACTCGATAATTCTAAAAACTCCATAAATCGAACTAAACGTTGAGAACCTGAGAAAACCTCTATAATTAGAAAAAAAATACATGTATTCCAGTCTACTCGATAATTCGAAATGTCTGTCAGTGGGACACACTCCACAATTCTAATTGTTTTCCACGAACTTCTATAATTCAAATTTTCTTAAACGCGATTATATGTAAGTTCACATGTATATATATTCACATATAAAGATTATGTACAATCTATTTGACGTACTCGTAATGAAACTAATAACAAAGGTGGTTAAATATTATCGTAGTTTATAAATGTTATCGTACCTTAACTATACCTAATCTAAACATTCATATGTATGTATAGTAAATAAATTTCAAAATAAATGTAATATACACATACAATTTTTCACCTCTCTTTAATTTTAATTAATTTGTATTCCCTCGATTACTCGAAAACTTGTTAAATCGAAAACCTCAATAAATCAAATTTGAACTCAGTTCCCTGAATTTCGAAAGAGTGAACTACTGTATTAAGAAATTAATAAAATTATTGAACAAGAGGTACGATTGTTGGATGTAAAGGTGGGTAAACTTAAATAGAATATAGTATAGCATATGGTACGATTGATCAGTAAAATTATGCAAAACTGAGCCCTATTACTAATGACAAAGCTCACTTCTAAAGGTTTTGTGCTAGCAGGCAGTCTTGGCATCTCCAATCCATACAAACCAATTTTAAATGCATGTAAATAATATTCTTTCCTTTCTGCTAAAACAGAGCACAAAAAATAGCATTTTTGTAGAATTTCTGATGCCAATGTAGACAAGTGGTGACTGACCGGATTAATCTAAAATATAAATTAACAAATTATTGATTTATTAACACAATGAGAAAGATTGCTTTCAATTTTAATATCTTGAGTATTTACTTTTTTTCGTTTTCCTTTTATCATTGATGGTGGTATGTCGATTATAAAATTAGGTGGATTTTTTAAGAACTGGTCTACAAGCTTTACACAAAGTACACAAGCTTCATTTGTATGACCATAACCATATAATCCTTCTGCTCTTGCAAACATAGTTTCCCACTCTGCATCTAATTTTACCAATGGAGTATTAGGCGCAGTAGGTATTTTGGATGTAGATGGTATTTGATGATCAAGATCTTTAATTGATTTAACAACAAAATCTGGTGTTACTGGTGCTGATGCCAATTCTTTTGTTTTAAAAAGGTAAAGGAAATCGTATTCATCTATATCTGGTGGTGTGGTAGTCTGGGAAGAAGTAGACTTTTGTGCAGCTGTTCGATCGCCTTCATCGCTACTCTGGCTTTCAGATGATGTATTACATGTACTATTGATTTGATGAGGTGTGCTAGGTTGGGTACTAGAAGAGGAACTTGTAGATGCATTAAAGTCTAAAATCAAACAAAAATAAAAACATGTATTGGATATTTAAATTTAGAACCTAAAATAAAAATAATTACTTGTACAACTTGCCGATGCACTTAAACACTCAGCAGTTGAAAATTCCTGAGGACTAGTGGTATTACTGCTTGCGTTTTCATCATCCGGTGGAGGTAATGATATATTTCTTGGCATATGCACCCAGTAAACATTTGTCATTGCTCTATTCCTATATTATTGTAATTATTATTCTTTATATTTGTCACAAAATAAACTTATTAGTTTTAAACGTACTCAGTATTTGGCATATGATTGCGAATCATAGGCATGTTACGACGTGTGGGAAGGAAATCATATCGATTTGGCTTACCAAAGTGTAAATGTCGATTATTTTTTAAATCCAAGAAACATTCATCTAAGCATATTTGAGAAGAATTTCCCTAAAATAATTATAAAATATTAAAATAAATAATATTTATTGTTGTAAATACAGTTTGAAAAATAAAAAGTCTTTTAAAAACATCTATATAAAATGTATTAATGATATTTTAATTTGTTAAACTTACTCTTGCAGATGAACTGCCTTCATTCCAGTTTATATGGTCTCCCATAAAATGTGTAGCTGTTCCTGTTCGTTTAATGTGCACACAAGAACCATCATCACAACAGCAATTTGTCCCATAAGTTATTCCAGCTAATGGATAATCCACCCAGTCTAGGTCGCAAGCTTCACAAGCTGGTTTGAAACCCATAAAAATTTCCGTATCTTGGCGAAAATTATTTAATGATTTACTGTTTGACAAATTTCTGTGTTTCATCACCTACAATTTTAAGTAATTCAATTTATTAAATAATATTGTTAAATTATATGAATAATTACGTACTCTATTGAAAATTTTTTCTTGCCAGTCTTTAAATTTAGTTTTTAGTGAAGTTTTAAGATCAGGCGAAAGGCTTGGATTTAAAGCGGCCAAACGCCACAGAGTTACCATTTCATCACAAAGTAAAGCGCAAGCATGAGATGCTGTGTTTGTATTGCCAGCGGGGCCTGTATGCTTAGTTCCTCCACTTCCTCCGCCATGTAATGCTACTCTTGTGTTAAACCACCAAACCATGATCTATAAATAATAGTTTAACATTGTTTAGAAAAAACAAATAATAATAACAGTCAATATTCATCCCCACTTGATCACATGCAATAGCTTCTTCTGTCAGCACTTCTAACAGATGTAAAGCATTCTCATCATTTCTACGAAACATTTCTCTGACAATTGATAGTAAATTCCATAACCCTTCAGGTTCACGACCGCGTAATGGACGCAATAGATTTGCCCATTCAGCAGTAGCAGGTGGAACAGATTGTGATAAGATGTTTACATCGCTAAGAAATAAAACATAAGTTAGTCAATTTTGAAATTTATTAAAACAAAAAAAACCATAAAATGTATTATATTACCTAATAACTAAGGGTGAAGGAACACAAAATTTGATCAAACTTTTTTTAATATTGTTGTGCAATGTTTTTTCGTCTAAAAACCATGTCGTTTGTTCATTGACAGATGCACCTGCAGTTGGATCTGGTGCTCCACTCGTCTAAAATACAATAACAATCAGTAAGTGGTAAAACTTAGAATTTAGTATGCCATTTATGATTTATATTTCAAGTATCATATATCTTACAGAATTAATAGCAGTTGGTTGTGAAGACAACAGTGAATCCAGTAATCGTTGTGCGGCAGGTAATATC